ATCCTTTTAGAGGGTGGTGTCTTCATAACCTATAATCTCACAAGACCTCGCCTCCTCAAGGTCTCACCATCTCAACTTTCTAGCCAACACTCTAGTCATATCCAGACGAGTCCGTTCCAGAACCACTGGCTTGAATTCTTCAGTCTACTGTAATTTGCATTTTTTTAGACACCAAAAACTGGTGTGTGACTGCTGAGGCATCCAAGGCTTAAGTTCAGCTCACAAACCTTCCCATGCTATGACCAAAAGTCATTTTGCTGGCCTCATGTCCTCATCTGAAGAAGAAAGCCTTCTCAGAGCTGGCAATGTGGAGCAGCACCTAAAGCTGGCATCCCACATCTGCTCTGGTTCATGTCCTGGCTGATCCATCTTCAGTTCAGCTCCCTGCTAACGTGTCTGGGAAAGCAGTGGAGGATGCTCCAAGGGCTCTAAGTCTTGCATCCATGTGGGAGATGCAGACGAAGCTCCTGGCTTCATCCGGTCGAGCCCTGCCCATTGAGGCCATGTGGAGAGAAAGCCAGCAGATGGAAGAGCTTTTTCTGTTTTTCTCTCTCTTAGTAACTCTCCCTTTCAAATAAGTAAATACATCTTTAAAAAATAGTAAAATTAGAATGAAAACTTTCTTCTCAAAGTTGCTGGAAGAATGCAGCCAGTTTACATGCGGCAGAGAGCAGACTCTCAGCCAGGACTGCCTTTCTGCCGAGTGGCCATCTGTCCCTGCACTGACCCCTTGTGTACTTTGTTTCTTAAGATCTTCCAAAGTACAATTTACATACCATAAAAATGTACCCATTATAAGTGTTCGGTTCGAAGATATTTAGTGAATAGGAGAGCTGTGCGACCACCACCATGTAGCTTTAGAACTTTCCCATCGCCTCAAAAAATTCCCCCCAACCTAATTTGCAGTCCATCTCCACTTGCATCACCCCGGACCCGGGAAACCACTGAGATGCTTTTTGCCTCCATCCATTTGCTCTCTCTGCACATTTCAGTGACACGAAGTCATACTATGCAGTCTTCTCCCTTTGCCACCCTGTACTCTGTAGATTTATCTAGGCGGCAGCACGTGCCAGTAGTCACTTCTGTCTACTGCCAAATAATATTGGACTGGGTAGAAACTCCTCATTTTTCTTCACTCCTTGTGCACATGTGGCTTACCACCAGTGTTTGGATATTATGAATTCACCCTGCTGTGAACATCTGCAAACAAGTCTTTTTTGTGTATAAGTGCAACTTTTCAGTTCTCTCAAGTAGAGACCCGAGAGTGGTGATATGCTAAGTTGGACTTTTGAAGAAATAGCCAAATTACTTTCCAAAGCGACTTCCTCGGTTCTAGCTCCACCAGAGCAGGGACCCCATTTCTCCATATCCTCATCAACACCTGGTGTCATCTGTCTTGTTGATGACACCATTCTAGCTGTAGGGATCTCATTATGGTTTTAGGTTACATTTTCTTTAGGATTAATGGTGTTGAACATCTTTCCATGCACTTATTACTCATTCCTACTTCTCCCTGGCTGGACATTCTACTGCAGTCTTTCCCCCCATTTTAAAACTGGGTTGACTTTTTCTTACTGAGGAGTATGAGTCTCAATACACATTCTTTACTAGACATAATATTTACAAATATTTTCTCCTGGTCTAGCATTTTTAAAAAATATGCCTTCAAGGATTTCTTCAGAAGTGGAAAAACCTGTGTGTGGATTTAATGAAGTCCAACTCTATCAAATCTTCATTTATGTTTTGTACTTTTCGCATTATATCTAAAAACTTTAACTCAAGGTCATGAGTCATCTCTCTTCTAGAAGCTTTACACTTCTAGTTCTTACATACAGATATATGATTCATTTGAGTTGATTTTTGTATGTGGCATGAGACAAGGGGTCTGAATTCCATTTGGCGGGTGTGTAACCACTGTGAGTTGAATTGTGCTCCCCACAAAATTTATATAAGAAAGTCTTGATCCCTGGTCCCTCTGAACTGAGATGTATCTCCAAATTTTGATATCTTTCATAGGTAATTCAACCCTACACGAGGCTATTAGGGATGACCTTGCCCAAGATAACTGGTATTATGATAAGAAACAGAGATGGGGGGCTGGTGCCGCGGCAGGTAAAGCTGCTGCCTACAGTGCCAGCACCCATTTCAGTGCTGGTTCGAGTCCTGGTTGCTCCACTTTCAATCCAACATCCTCCTATTATGGCTGGGAAAGCATCGAAAGATGGCACAAGAACTTGAGCTTCTGCAATTGTGTGTGAGACCTGGAAGAAGCTCCTGGCTTTGGATCGGTTCAGTTCCCAGCACTGTGGTCGTTTGGGGAGTGAAACAGCAGATGAAAGATCTCTGTTTCTGCGTTACTCTACCTTTCAAATAAATAAGTAAAGAAACAGAGAACAGGATGCAGACAGCTTCGGAGAAGACACCAGGCATAGGCAGGCACGGGCTAGTCAAGGGGAGGTCTTCAAAGGCCCTTCTGCTTGGGAGGATACAGATTCCTGCTGTTCGCATCATAGTCTGTAGTGCTTTGTTCCACAGTCCTAGGAATTTAGTGCAACATCATGGTCCCAACTGCTCAAGCCTGTGTTTTTCCCCATTGAACTATTTTGGCATCTTGACCAAAAAGTCACAACAGGGCCTGGCATGGTGGCCTAGTAGTTAAAGTTCTAGCCTTGAACGCATCGGGATCCCATATGGGAACCAGTTCTAATCTCAGCAGCCCCACTTCCCATCCAGCTCCTGCTTGTGGCCTGGGAAAGCAGTTGAGGATGGCCCAAAGCCTTGGGAACCTGCACCAGAGTGGGAGACCCAGAAGAGGTTCCTGGCCCCAGATCGGCTCAGCCCTGGCCACTGCAATCGCTTGGGGCGTGAATCAGTGGGCAGAAGATCCTCCTCTCTGTTTCTCCTCCTCTCTGTATATCTGACTTTCCAATAAAAATAAATAAATAAATCTTTAAAAAAGTCCCAACAGTTTAATTCTCCACTGTCAGTGTTCCATTGATTTGTCTGCCTTTTGTTTTAATGTCAGTATCATATTGTTTTGATCACTGTCGCTTCACAAGATCCTTTAAAAATGGGTAGGTACAATTTGTCTAACTTCGCTTCTTTTCAAAAGTGCTTGGATTATTTTGGGTCTTTTGCACTCCCATACACATTTTAGGATCTGCTTATCCATTTCCACTAAAGAAGTCTATTAGGATTGACAGGGATTGTAATGAATATATAGATTAATTGCAGACCCATTTGGACAATAATTCCAATTCAGAATTACATGAACACTGCTGCTTCACTGCCAGTGCTCCCCACGCCCCACTGAAAGTACTTTTGTGGTTTGCTTACGCATTCTGCATTCTTTCATTAAGTTTCTTACCTTTTTTGAAGATTTATTTTATTTTTTATTGGAAAGCCAGAGCTACAGAGATGGAAAGACAGAAATATCTTCAGTCCATGGGTTCTCTATGCAAGTGGTTTCAATGGCCGGGGCTGAGCAGAACCAAAGCCAGGAGCCAAGAGCTTCTTCTGGGTCTCTCACACAGGTGCAGGGTCCCAAGGCTTTGAGTCATTCTCCACTACCTTCCCAGGCCATGAGTAGGGAGCTAGATGGAAAGTGGAGCAGCCAGGACATGAACTCTTGCCCACATGAGATCTCGGTACAAAGTGAGGATTTAGACACTAGGCTATTGTGCTGGGCCCATTGGTAAGCTTTTTCTCAGTATTTCTTTTCAATGCTATGTGAGTAGCACTGCTGTTTTCTGAGTTTCATTTTTGGATTATTCATTTCCAGGACACAGAAATACAATGGATCTTTATATATTGATTTTTGTGTGTGTATGGATTTCTGAGAATTGTGTCCTTCTATCTAGCCTTGACGCCTGTTCTGTCTACCCATGGGCTTACATTGGCGAGCCCTTTCAGTTCAACACAGAACTGAGGCGGGAAGCATGAATCACCCTGCTATGTTCTCCAGCTAAGGGCAAAGGTCACAGATCCATTTCTACGGGCATTCTTTGTCATTCCCAGCCCTCTCTTGTTGAAATTGTTAATTATTTCAATTTGGAGAATTAAACACTTAAGTATAAAAATATACTTTCTCAACCACAAATACAAGGAAATAGAGCCCAAAGCTAGGATCTTTGTTTGAAATATTTGAGCAACAGGAAACCATCTGCACCATGCAACAATAGGGCTTGGCTGAACAGCTCTAAGAACATTCAGGCACAGTGGAATACTACACAACCATTAAAAAGGGGACTTAGAAGATGGGAGCTTTAAGGCTCCACACATACAGAAATCACAAAGAGGTGGGAAAGCCAACTCCTGAGATTCTTTCAGCGTCTACAGCAGAAGTCTTGAAAGGTCGCACTGTCCTCATAAATATGTACAATGCTCATCATAAAATGCGTAAAGCTCTGTGGGAATTTTAAATTAAAAAAAAAATTAGTTACAGGGTCCAGTGTGATAGCCTAGTAGCTAAAGTTCTCGCCTTGCACGTGTCGGGATCCCATGTGGGGGCCAATTTGATTCCCGATTGCTCTGTTCCCCATCCAGCTCCCTGCTTGTGGCATGGGAAAGCAGTGGAACCTTGCACCCACGTGGGAGACCCGGGGGAGGCTCCTGGTTACTTGGGGAGGGAACCAGCCGATGGAAGATCTTTCTGTATCTGCTTCTCTCTGTAAATCTGGTCTGTAAAAATCTGGCCAGTAAAAAGAAATCAATCTTCAAAATCACAAGTGTATTTAAGAGCATAGAAGAATTCTTATGCTACAGTATTAAAACCACCAAAATAACACAGGATGATTTCAGACTGGAACGACAGACATACATACATCAAGAAAAGAGGACCATTCCCAGTGCTGGCTCTGGAATCAGGGATCCTGGGTGATGTTTTCCCCTCTCATTTCTATTATAACTTTTTTTCACAGCGAGCATTTTATAGCCAGAAAAGGAAATTAAAGCAAAACATGCACAAGCCAAACTCCAAAGGCACTGCTCATCAGCCTTACCTTACAGTACTCATCGATGGGCACCAGGCGCTTGACGGCCACGTCCCGGATGTGGCTTCGGCGGAAGAGAATCTTGCCTGCGGAAGATGAGAGAGTGTACAGTACACCACGGTGAAGGAGGCAGCGCCAAGCTCTCAGCAGCCTGGCTGGCTGCAGCGGTGGCTGACTCGGACACGGACCTGAGGGGTTCCCCAACAGCACTCCTTCCCCTGCTGCACATTCACAGGCAAGGTGCCTGCAAATGCTGTGCACAGCTCTGCCACACAGGCTTGGGGGAAAGACGCCCAGCGGCTCAGTTTTTGGGGAGATGAAGGAAGTGGAGAGCAACCCCAGGAAAGGATGAAGAAACTGAGGCCAGCTGGTGCGAGGTCCTATCCGACTGTAGGACTCAGAGGGGCAAGCAGCATGTGGGACACCCAGATGCACCAAGACCCAACAGTTTTGCCTCCTCCCTCCCTCCCTCCCTCCCACACTTCCTGTCCCTGCCTCCTAGTCTCCCCGACTTCCATGCTCTCAGGATCCTGTGCTTTCTTCCATGCCTATAACACCCCACCTCCAACCTACCATATGCCCCATCCCTTTGTTGGCAACTCTCACTCGCCCGCCTCGGGATGTGGTTGTAGGGAAATATAAGTGTCATGATACCCCTGAAGAATTCTGGAAAGATCCAAACATTGAGATGCTATGGATGAGGACTGAGGACAGCAAACCAGAGGCTACCCAGGAATCCAGAGAAACAGGATGTGGTACAAAAGCATATGCACTCGAGATGAAGACATCTGGAAGTGGCGACAAGTCCCATCAAGCCGCCGCAGAGCAGGATGGCTCTAGGTGTTTGGCACAATGGATAAGTTGCCATATCTGTTCCTGGAATGGTACGTTAGGGTGCTTGGTTTGAGTTCTGGCTGCTCCACTTGTGATCCAGCTCCCTGCTAATGCACACCCTGGGAGGCAGCAGGTGATGGCTAAAGTTCAAGGGTCTCTACCACATATACGGAAGATCTGAATTGAGTTCTGGGCTCCTGGCTTTGGCCTGGTCCAGCCCTGGCTGGGCAGTGAGCCAGTGGAAAGATCTGTCTCTCAGATGTATAACTAAAAATTACATAAACATACAAATCTGTGCATATGTATATGTCTGTTGCCACATGTATTTAGTACAGTCCCTGGCCACAGGAATCGGTCCATTTTGAGAGCCCAATGGGAGAAATCACCCGAGGCTCAGCTTATAGGATTGGACAAAGACTGAACACAGGTGATACGGTGTTTCCTAAGACGTGACCCAAGGACAAAGATGTCCCTCCTGCCACACATCTGGGGACTTTCCAGTACAGGAGGCAGGAAGCCAGTGGCTGTGGCAGGGTCTTCTGGAGGAGGCCACAGGCCAATCCCAAGGCTGCCTCCTGTCAGCTGTATTGCCGTGGAGAACACACTCAGCTCTTGGAGCTCCTCCTCTGCAGCTCTTGTCTCTTAGAAGCCACCTGCACACACCCAGTCTCAGGGCTGGCCCACTCAGCAGAGCTAAGTTTTCTCAGTGACACCGTTTTTACATTCTGCAATGAAGGGCACATACCCTTTCCTTACCTCCGGCCTTTTGAGACTTGGGGCCCAGCTCAGGGGGTCACGGCCCCACAGCAGAGCCAGCAGCCATGGGGCAGAACTATGTGGCCAGTGCGTGAGGCACGCGAGCCAAGGTCTCCATGGTGTAGAAGGCGTTTGTTTGCATGTGGGCAGGGAGGGAGAGCAGCCCCCGCTCTCCTGGAATGGAAAGGGTGTCTGGAGGGAAGGGCTAGCTTTTGTTTCCAGCGTGGAAGAAGGCCAAACTGTAATTCTTCATCTTCAAGCTGCATCCTCTGCCAAGTGGGCCTTCCCCAGCTCCTGCTGGGCTGGAAAACTGCACAGGCGCCCTGCCCTCCCCCACCGCAGCCCGACGCAAGCTGCGGCTTTGTTCTGCTGACGCGGCAGTCCTGGCCGAAAGCTGCCCCCTTGCAGTGGGGACCCTTCTCTCTTGTGTTTCCCTGTCCTCGGCCTTGGCTTCGAGGAAAAGCTTAGAGGGGACACCCGATGGACGGGTCAGGGGTCTCAGGGTCCAACGAGGCCTCTTTGAGCCACAAGTGGGTACTTTGTGTCCCTGAGAACAGCATCTTCATTAATTATGGGGTGGAAAAGGATTACGTAACCCCAAAAGGCTTTGAGAAAGAGCCGGGGAAGGGTCGGGATCAAGTTCTTCCCTGTCTTGGGAAGTTTTCCCAGAGCTGGTTTTGCCTTTCATCCAGCAAAGAATTGCAACTTACTGCCTGCCTTTTCTTTTTTTTCTCTTGATGGAAAAAAAACCCCTACATTTAAGAGCCTTGCTTCACTTGAATTATCAGATTGGTCTTTTTAACGCTGACCTCCAACACAGGAAACTAAGAAATCCCAAAGTCATGTTCCAGGGCCCTCTGTGTCTGCCCAGGAACCTGCTGTACCCCAGGGATGGGGCCTCGAGAAGTGGGGGTTGCTGACCCATCTACAGATGTGGGAGGGCAGGAGCAAGGCTGCCTGCTTGTTCCATGAGGCCCTCATGTTTGGCTGTGGCAGCTGGCACGGTGGGTTTTCCCCACCGCAGGTGGATACTTTGGCACTGGTGTTAGCTTTCCTAAGACTAAACAGGTCCCAAAGATGTCCTGCCCTGATCCACACAGCCCAAGCACATGATGAGTTTCTGTATGCTGCATATCCACCTGAACAGGGGGCGATTAAACTGGATTAGCCAGGGAATCCAGGAGCCTTCAGGAGCAGACAGCTTTACCCAAATGGTGGCAGAAGGGGGAAGTCAAAGGGATGTGAAGTACAGGACTGCGTGAGGGCCACTGAGGAACGTGGGCTGCTTCTGCAAGTCAGGAGAGGTCCCGGCTTACAGCCGGCAGATGAACAGGCATCTCGGTCGTATGCTGGCAAGGAACCGAATTCTGTCAACACTCTGAGCGAGGCTGGAAGTGGATCCTTCCCAAGGCCCTCCCAACAAGAGCCCAGTCCAGTCAACACCTTGACTTTGGCCTTGTGAGACCCTAAACAGAGAATCCAGCTGAACCTACCCAAACTTCTAGACCCTAGAGTTGTGAGATCATAGATGATTGCTGTTTTCAGATGGTAAGCTGCTTGCTAATCTGTTATGCAGGACAGAAAACAAATTCCTAAGAGAAGCCACTCACTACAAAAAACTTACCCAACTCTATGTATCCCCATTTTAGAGACTGGAGAAGCTGAGGATCCTGAGGTCAAAGTCTTGTTTAAGGTCCAGTAGCTGCGAAGCATGTCAGGATTCACCCACTAATGCTACAAATGACTGTGACACGCCCCCTGACACAGGAGAAGGAGCTGGCCCAAGAGACCCCTGGAGTTGTTCAGGAACCCCCAGGTCTCCCCTGGTAAGACCACCTGTTCCACGCACCTGGCAGGAAGGGAATGATCCGCTGTTTGGGGTCCTTCTGTCCTCCTTCCATGGGAAATTTGTCCAGCATCTGCATCTAAATGGGGAGAAAATACCGAGAAATTTTTCATAATCCTAGAAACACACCTCTGACATTTTAAAAGGAATTGCATGAAACAGGAGACTTGACCTACAGAAAGTTCACTTTGTTCAGTTTTCCAGAAACCCAAACGAACGGGGAAGACAAGTTCAGCTGGAGCTAGGGACTCCCTCCTCAAAAATGAAACGAAACAAAACAAAATGTTGATGTCTACACAGCCGGGGTTGTGAGGGCTCAGAGCTAGGAGAGATCATTCTGTCTGCCTAGGGGTCTCCAGCCATAGTATCTAAAATGTTGAATGACAGATGGCTGGAAGGCCACCAGCCAGCAGATCCTGACATTTCCTAAGGACTGCCAAGCTGAGTTAAGGAATAAGCCACCAGGGTGGGCTGTGTGGTGCGGTGAGTAGAGCTGTTGCTCGGGACACCCACATCCCATGTCAGAGAGCCTGTGAACAAAGCCTGCCTTCTCTCCCGACCAAGTTTCCTGCTAATGCACCTGGGAAGTAGCAGGCGACTGCTCAAGGAATTGGGTTCCTGGTACCCACACGGGAAATCTGGACCTAGTAAAGTGAGGAGCCACTGATGCTGTCTGCATTCCCCAGGTGGGTGGCAAAGGCCCAAGCCTTTGAGTCTTCTGCTGCCTGATGTTGCATCAGCAGGGAGCTGGGTCAGCACAGTGGCCAGGAACTGCCCCTCAGGAGCCCTCGCAGCATCGCTCCAGCGTGATTACCCAGGGAGCCAGACATGGGCAGAAACCTGCCACGGGCTTGCATCCTAGAGTCGCAGGCAACGGCCTCAACTGCACATTGTGTTTTTTGGACATCACATCAATCTGCTTCTAAACAACTGCTACCAAGATGGTTGAAACAATGGGACCATGGTGTCGGGCTCCACCCTTGCTTCTCCAGTGCAGTTGCTAGACATTTTATTGATCTGAAGAGTAGAGAGAGATCTTCCATCCTCCGATTCAGCCCCACAAAGTGTGCAACAGTCAAGACCGAGCCAAAGTCAAAGCTAAGAGACTGGAAACCAATCTAGGTGTGTCCCACTTGGATGGCAGGGGTCAAAGCACTTCAGCCATCATCTGCTGCCTCGCAGACTCCACATTAGCAGGAAGCTGGGATGGGACACACAGGCAAGACTTGGACTGTGGTAATCTGACAAGAGGCATGAGTGTTCTACATGGCACCTTGACCACTGTGCCAGAAGTGCCTGACCCCTTTGGTCCTGCTATATGAGGTCCTGTGGGAGATGGGGCTGGGCACCCTGCACCTGCAGGCTGGACCATATCCGTGTTACTGCCAGTGGCTTCTAATCTAGAGCCGCTCCTCTGTCCCATGTGGTGATGGAAACTGGCTGGCCACTGTCCTTCAGAGATGGCAAGGTGATGGTGGAGCCTTGCTGGGAAAGGCAGCCTTCCTTCTCCGAATCCAAGAACTCCTTGATGTGGGTACACAGTATGCCCACAGTAACAATGTGCAGAACAGGACACTGGTAGTCCAGAAGGTCGTGTGTGTGTGTGTGTGTGTGTGTGTGTGTGAACACAGGGGGACTTATGGGAGTGGTGATTAACTTTTTGGTCAATTTTTGCTCTGAACCTAAAACTGCTCTAAACATAGAAGAAAACTTCACTACTAAACAAACAAAACTGGGTGGAGTGATCCATGAGCTTTTTGGGAGGGGTCTAAGCAGTCCTGGCACACAGTATTCCCCTTAAGCATGATCATCTAGCGATGAGCCAGCCCCACAAATATCTGCCTAGCAGCTGAATGTGAGCAAGCCCTGTCCCACCCGTGATTACTTCTGACCTTCCTCATAATCCTGAATAATACATACTCCTATGTTACAGCTGAAGACACGGGGACATCAAGAGGACAGTGAATCGGCCTGAGGTCCCCCAGGGAAATGGTGGCCCAGCAGGTCCGAGGCTCATGGTCTCCATTTCTCTCCCTCTTCTCCCAGATTGCTCTTGGAAGTAGCTTCAGAGTCACATGAGCAAGGAAAAACGAGTCAGAGACCTGGCCCACTTCCCACACCGAGTGCACGTGAGAGGCACGCCGCCCTCTGGAAAGCGGAGCCATTCATCAGTCTAAGCAGCCGTCTCAGAGATTGAGCGGTCTCGCCTGACGCCATTTCGTCTCTCCCTTTTTAGTCATATGTGTCAAAGGCAATGTTGAAACACCATTAACCGGCACTGTGAAAACAGAATGTACCAGAAATCCATCTGCCCTACCTAATGTGATGGCTGCATTCTCTCCAGCTTCCCCAATCCTCCAGGCAAAAGCCCATGTGGGCTGTGGACGGCCTGGCCAGCTTCTCCACCCTGCACCCTGACTCGTTGCTCCCCCCAAGGGTTCTGCTGTCTCCAGGCATGCCACACTGGGCCAAGACCTCCCAGCAGGTGCCTTCAAGGACTTTACCGGGCGGCCCCATATTCAGGCAGGCCTCAGACCAGCAGCTCCCTCCAGGAAGGCTGGCCATAGCTGTTATCCTTAGTAACAAGAAATCCACCACCCAGACGGGTGCAGGGCGAAGAGGACTGGAAACCCAGAGGCAGGAAGGGAGGCAGGAAGGGAGAGGGAGGAGTGGGAATGTGCCACATCCCCAGGCTCCGAGGTTAAAGCTCCATCAGCAGTTTCCAAGACTTCAGCTGTGGTGGTGAGGTGAGGGGAGAGCGGGCCAGGCCGTCCAAGGCAAACACCAAGCCTGCGAGCTGGCGGGGCCAGCCACACGTGGGTTGTGTTAGCAGCAGCCAGCGAGGCTGGACTTGGGAGGGGCTGATGCCCTCAATATCACAAAGGCCCTGAGTCCCAGAAGAGTGGGGCAGGAAGTGGAGAAAGGCTGACAGGACCAGCTTGTGCAGCTGCAGGCTGGTAGGGGGCCCTGTGGTTGCTGAACCTTTAGGAACACAATGTGTGTGAACTTACCCTTCATCATGTGACTTGTGGTCTTTGGGGTTTGGGGCTTCTCTGTGAGCTGGACTACATGTCATAGCACTACGTGGCACCTGCCACTGCCCTTCTGCCTGGGTACTTTCCCAAGTCAGGTCTGCCCTCTCTCCCCCTGGCCGCCTTGTCAGTCTGTCTGCCTCTCTTCTGTGCCTGTCCTCTCCTCTTTTTACATGGCAGGACCTGGTATATCTCTGTACCAACAGCAAAAGCCTGAATGAATGAACACATGAATAGGCAGTGTTTAACTGGCTTAGTCAGTTGGGAGAGGAATGATGACCTGGCAGGTGGGAGCAGAAGGATCTGCATCTTAATTCAGATGCAAATGAGCATGCTAATCATGGCTGTCTCTGGTTTAGAAATGGAGAATTATGAAATTGGTGTTGTGGTGTAGTGGGTAAAGCCAGAGACTTTGAACTTGGCATTCCATTTGGTGCCAGTTCAAGTTCTGGCAGCTCTACTTCCTATCCAGCTCTCTGTTCATGCATTTGGGAAAGCAGTGGAGGATGGCCCCAGTGCTTGGGTCTCTGCACTCACACGGGAGACCTGGATGAAGCCCCTGGCTTTGGACTGGCCCAGTTCAAGCTGTTACAGCCAATTGAAAAGTAGTCCAAAATCTTTGTCTCTGTCTCTCCCTCTTTCTGTAACTCTGCTTTCCAAAAACATAAATAATCCTTAAAAAACAAAACAAAACAAAACAAAACTGTTAAGTGTGCAGGACAGGGCAGCCACTGTATTTTTTTGGCTACATATACATCACCGGGATGGGCAGACTGATCCACATGTATGTACACAACACATGGGAGGCCTACCCTCATCTTAGAAGGTCATGTCTGGGGTGAAAAGTGTGTCTGAACACAGATCAGGGCAGCCCCTCACAAACACGGCTGCTGGAGCAGTGGCCAGGAACTGGCAGGGACCTCACTGGGATGCCTTCCCAGCCGGATGAAGCCTGCCCGGGGAGCCAGCAAAGCCAAGGCCCTCCTAGCCCTCTGGGTCTGGGAGCATCTGAGCAGAGAGTCTGTAAAATGTCAATCTCTTTCTCTCTCTCTGTCTCTCTCTCACACACACACACGAACACACAGTCTGCTATTCTACTTTTCAGACAAAACAAAAGGAAGTCCATTGCCTGTGTCCCAGTGTCCCACTGCAATGGATTCTCCAGCAGAGACCCAGGCTTAGGAAGAAACGGAGGCTCTGAGAGGCTCAGTGACCGGTCCAAGGGGGCAGCACAAGAGCTGGGACCCAGCAACAGGAGTCCAGCTCCACACCCATCCCTGCTCCCACTTGTGAATGAAGTCATGGGACCAGACATTAACTGGCAGTGGCAGTTGTTAGCGTCGGGGTCTGCCTCTTCTATAGGACAAGCAAGTCAGCGAACTGATCCAAAAGGTGATGCTTCTAGCGAAATCAGCTCTTCCTACAGGGAATTGGGCACCTGCCCAACTGTTCCCAGAGGCCTACTGCTGACTCTTTCCTCTGCCTAGCTGTCCTGAACCACAAACGGGGTATACATTGTTTCCTGTCACCTGCTAGTTCCAGGAGGTACATAAGGTTGGTTTAGAGCATGGGCAGGATGCTGGTTTCACTCCCAGTGGCCCTGAATGGCCTGCTTATGGGATCTGAGAGAAGCCAACAAGGCTTTTTCCTTTTTACTTGGTAAGGAGAGTTACAGAGAGGAGGAAGAAAGAGAGATTGATCTTCCATCATTGGTTCATTCCCCAAATGGCTTGGCCAAATTCAGGAGCTGGGAGCTTCCCTGGGTCTCCCAAGTGGGTGCAGAGGCCCAAGTACCTGAGCCATTCTCTGTTGCCTTCCCAGGCACACAACAGGGTGCTGGACTGGAAGTGACTCCAGAACTTGAACCGGCATCAAAATCACCAGCACCCAGCTCACATTGCTGGGGTACTTCCTTTTCTCTGAAGTCCCTGTACTGACCTGTTGGACACACCCTGAAGCTGTGGCTGCCACCACACTGGACACTTCCAGGCCCAGACACAAAGAAAGACAAGACATGCAGAAAGACACATTCTTGCCGACCTCTGGA